GAAGGGAAGGGAAGGGAAGGGAAGGGAAGGGAAGGGAAGGGAAGGGAAGGGAAGGGAAGGGAAGGGTAGGGTAGGGTAGGGTAGGGTAGGGTGTAATAAGTCTGAAGGAAGAGGGCTCTTGTGGAATGGAGATGATAAAGACGTGCAAGGAAGGGAAGGAGTAAGTTGCATAATGAATGAAAGGACCAAACTGTATGTCAGGAAGTATGAACTGGTATCTTCTGGGTCGTTTGGGGTGCAGGCAAAAGTAGGAATTCATAGGTTGATGATGTTACACTCCAGAGAATGGTTATAAAGGAAGAAGAGGAGTTCTGGAAAAGCTGCTGGACAGATTTATGAATGAATGTGATTTGGGGGAGGAATAATTCAGGTGGGTGGCATAAATGGGTGCTAAGTAACTGCTTGGGAAAAAGCTCTGCTTGTTTCGGCCACATGTTTTAAGCACGTGTCTCCTGTAGATACTCAGAGAAGAAGAATGAATAAAAAAGCATGACTGATATGAAAGACTGAGGTAATTAAGGGAAGGATAGAAGGCTGGTAAGAGCATCTGACACACGAGACGCACCATTATTTGGTAGTGTCAAAAGAAAAAAAAAGTCATGGAAGAAAAGAAGTAAAAGAGACAAGAACAAAAATAGGATGACTATGGGAAGTAAAAGGGCGAATCCTGTATGAAAAAAAAGATTAGAAGATGGGTTAATCTCAAAACAAAATGAACAGAAAGATGATGTGGAAGCCACTTGGAATAAAGTAAAAATAATTCTGTGACAATGTCCACAGAAAGATGGAGTTACACTAATGAGGAATATGGAAGAGGATGGTTGATTGAAGGATGGAGCTATAAGAGCCACACAGTCCAAGGGAGGGGGGTGGACATTTGGGGGAGGGGGACTCTCTGGGCCTCCCATGTGCCTCCCCCAAACAGAGCACAAGTTACAGAAACAGCACCAGGCAAAGTCCTGCTTCCTGTGGCAAAGTCACAATTGGCAAAGTTGGCAATTGGGGCACACACAGCTCTTGCAGGAATGCATGCCACTTCCTCCACTTAGAAGGCTACTAGTACCTCAAGGAGACCAAAAAAAGGGGATGGTGGTTGAAGCCACTTCTTGGCTAACTACCCCACCTGAAGGGGATGTGGAGCAGGGCGGCAGAGAGCCCAACTGTCCCCAGCTGGATGGACTGCGGTCAGGGCAGAGAAAGGAAATTGGCCACCCTGCCGGGCTTTCCTCCTCCCTCCGCCTGGAGTCGGGGGGGGGGGGCAAAAGACACACCC